TTGGGAGACCCGAATAGCGGTCTCATCCTGTTTTTGTAGGGCCCAGGTCTCTGAGGCGTATGTTAATGCAGGAAGAACAATGGAATTGAAGAGATGTGCCCAGAGCCGGAGGTTCTTCATCATCTTAGCTATTTCTTTTTTTTAAAATTTTTTATAATTTTATTTATTGAATCACCATGAGAGCAGTTACAAAGCTTTTGGGTCTAAGTCTTGGTCATAAAATGAAACACCCGTACCTTCACCAGTGCTCATTCTCCACCACCCCCAACAACCCCCATATACCCCCATCCCACACCCTTCCCCTACCTGTGGGGCAGATGATTTCCACATTACTCTCTCTCTACTTTCATCACATTCAATATTTTGACACCAGACCCACCATTATTATTTGAGATTTTACCTCCGCCCCTCTCGGAGAGCCCGGCAAGCTACTGAGAGTATTCGATATGCCAGACACAGTAACAACAAAGTCTCCAATGGAGACGTTACTGGGACCGCTCAAGCCTTTACCCCAACACTCAGATCTGCTGAAAAGGCAACAGTAGACAATTTGTGTTCTATTGCTGGTTATGAATAACATATGATGTTGCATGGCTGCAGTAGTGGCTGCGCAATTTTGAAATTCCAAAATTTTAACACTTACATCTGGAGGGATTTCTGCCAAAATCTGCTGGATTCCGAGATTTGCTCCTGAGTCTCTGGGATCATGGCCGTTAAGCACCTTGATCAGTAGCCAGAAAGGCCATTCGTGGGCGATGACTTGGAGTCTCGTTGGGGTGGGGAGGACAGGACCGGCTCCACCCCCATCTCATGAGACCCAAAGTGTCTCGTCACTGCGGGCCCAAACCTGGTTGTCCAGTGGCCTCTGGAGGATGATGGCAACCAAGCTTCCAGGGGAAAGCAGGTGGAGAGACAACACCCTTTTCCCCCCTGGGGTGGCCCGGTGACAGTAACCTACTGTGTGGTCTGGACACATTTCTGCCAAAAGCTGCTGGGTTTCGAGAATTGTTTCTGAGTCTCTGGGATCATGGCCGTTAAGCAGCTTGATCAGGAGCCAGAGAGGCTGTTCGTGGGCAATAACTTGGGGTCTCGTTGGGGTGGGGAGGACAGGATCAGCTCTACCCCCATCCTATGAGGCCCAACAAGTTTTGTCACTGCCCTCTTAGCTATTTCTTCAGCGCTCTTGAAGGCGTTTCAAGCCGCTCTCTTCCTTCTGTGCAACTCAGGTGCCAGGTCATTCGTCATGTTGACTTTTTGACCTAGGTACACATAACTGTTGCATTTGGAGATGGTCGTTCCAGTGAGAGTGAATGGAACATCAGGAATGAGACTGTTTTTCATAAACATTGTCTTCATGAGATTCAGCTGGAGTCCGACCTTTCCACACTCATGGTTGAAGTCGGCCAACATTTGTGCTGCTTGGCTAATGTTGGTGTTATTAGAACAATGTCATCAGCAAAGCGGACGTGGTGTAGTTGCCGACCGTTTATCTTCACTCCCATTCCTTCCCATTCCAGTAGTTGCATGATGCTCTTGAGGGTGGCACTGAAGAGTTTCAATGAAATGGTATCACCCTGCCGAACCCCTCTCTTGACATCGATGATCACTTCTTTCCAATATTCTACAGTATATTGGAGAGAAACAATTCCATGATTTATTGCTTTCTCCTTGCCTGGATTTTAAATCTTTGGTCAAAGACAGCTTGTTTTGATTGAAAATGTTCATTGTTTCCCCTCCCCCTGCTATGCCCCATATCTTGATTCAGAGCCATTACTACTGCAAATCATCTCAAGAAGATCAGAAATTCTCAGGGTTTGATGAAATTGTAACATGTTTGGAAAAGGAAGGGGAAAGAAGATTGTCCTAGTAAACTCCCACCTTTAAAACACTGCCTTTAAAACAGATCTTTTCCAAAACCATACACAGGACTAAGTGAGCTATTTGACTAGGGCAACCCAGTTCCTTTCCTTCCAGCTCTGAAGGGTTTTCATTGACTAGGATATCTTTTAGGGTCACTTCAAGGGAAATGTGGAGGGGCCATGGATTCACCCACCCCCGTTTCATTCACTTATGCACTTAGTACCCCTTATGTTAGTTCTTATGGGAAGGAATGAGTGGGATACCCATCCGTGGGCCTCAAGGTCTATCCTTGGCTCTATTCTCAAAGGTCATTCCTGCTATATTCAGTGATGCTGGGGGTTAAACCAGGGCTGGCCACATGCAAGGCAAGTGCCTTAACCCCTCTGCTGTCTCTCCAGACCCAGCACTCCTGTGTTAGTTCTGTCACCCATTCTCCAGACAGGCCTGTGAGGTAGGCATCACCTTCATGCTGTACAATGAAAAGGGAGTTCAGAGTACTGGAAGGACACAAGGTCTCACAGAGCTCCAGTTGTTTGTCTCTGGGTTTTTATTAGAAACAAATATCCCAATATTAGTACGGAAGACAATAGCTATTTTCTTGTGTTTGCTCTTATGTCAGAAATCTGGAGAGGATACTCAAGGCTGTCCAATGAGGAACTTCTGATGAAGTTGTAGTCAATTGCTGTAGAATGCTGAGGGGCTGAGAGGAGGCTGGAATCTCTATCTCTGTCTCTCCCTCTCCCTTTCTCCCTTCCTCCCATCTCTCCTCCCTTCTTCTTCTCTCTCCCTACCCTCTTTCTCTTTGTCTCTGTCCTGTCCCCTCCTTCAGGTTCTCTCTACAGCTAATCTGGCTTTTCTGAAATATGATGATTTCAGGGAAATCCAATTGCTTGCAAGTAGATTTGGGGCCTCCAGTTCAAGGATTCCAGCACTCAGGAAATCACCTTTTCTGACCTCTCCACAGAAATCACTTCTACTGCTTTGGTTAGTCACCCTTCTTTTGATTATAAGTGAGTCACAAGCCCACAAGGTCACATCACAGACTAGCATGTGAATTGGATACAGCTTTGGTATATTTGACCTGCTACTGCTGCTTCCAGCCTGTGGCAGAGCCAGAATTTGGCTTAGATACAGTGGATCCCAAACCTTGTGCTGCAGCTTTTAAACCAGCAGACTCAGAGGACCTCTCCTTCCCATCACCCCCTGACCAACGAAATTGTGACTCTTACTGTTGGCATACAAACTGGGATCTGTTCTCCTGAAGTGGACCAGAGCCTGGCTCAGTTAACACAGCCAGCTGCCTCTGCAAACCCCTCTGCAGACCCCGGCAGTGAGATAGCCTCCCAGGTCTGCTGGCCAGACAGCCCATGGCCAATGCCAGCTTGTGGAGTTCCCAATGAAGAGGACAGTGAAGGTCAGTCATATTCAGAGGAAGAAAGCAGGTGGCAGGCTCAGAGCACAGTGAGTCTGCAGCACTTGTCATTGTCATAAACAAGTCGTCTGGTGTTTTTCCTTCCCCCACAAGGCTCTGGTTTGGGATGACTCAGCCTGTGACAGGAAAGGTGCCTTCAAGTTGGGAAACAGCCAGGGTGGGGGGGGGGGGTAGAAGCTCACGAAATTGGAGGCAGACATTCCTGAGTTGCAGTCCTGACTCTGCCATTGCTGGTTATATGACTTTGGACAAGTTCTGTATCTTTCAGAGCAAAGGGGAAACAAAAAATACCTTTCTCCCTGGGCTGTTTTGAAAGTTAAAATACACTTGTAAATGAGGTACCTAACATGGTACAAAGCACACAGTAGATACTTCATAAATGCTAATTTTTGTGTCCCAAGTCATGTTCATCCCCAGCTGGACAACACTTTGGTGAGAACTCTCTTAACTATTTCTCCCCCACAGTGTCAGTTCCATGACCTTAACCTTGAGTGGAGTAGTGGACAGAGGAGTCAGGAAATGTGATCTGGGAGCTAGAATGATAGGGGAAAAGACTCAGAACTTCTGGGGTATGATGGGCAAGGGTAGGAGGTGGGAATTACCAGCATAATACTGTGCAGGTAATCAGGGACCCCTCTGTGAATGAACTAGTCAACTGTTTCAAACTTTTAAGTTTAAAAAAAGCTGAAGTACAGAGGGTTCTTCTTAAGTGGGGTGTCACAGCCAGATCTGCACTAAAGATCACCCTCAGTGGCTATGCTGTAGCAAATGGCATAGAGATAAGCAATCCCGTGGCAGGGAAGCACTTTAGAGCTGAATGACCATAGTCCAGAGGAAAGAAGGTGCTGGATTTTCATACAAAAAGGACAGCAGGAGACTGGAGAGAAGGGAACCAACTCAAAAGAGAGAAGGTTCTATGGGTGAGAACTGGTGACAGTTGGATTTTCAGAGATGAGGGCTATGAGATCAGTGACAAGTGCTCTAAATGCGGTCACTTTAGAAGCATGAAGTGTGGGCAAGGGCACCGGTCATGGTCACAGCCCTGTAGAGTACCACAGAAAGCTTTATAAAAGCAGTGTCACCTAATCAGAGAATTGATGGATGTAAATTAGAAAAGCAGAGGCACAGAAGTCAGGGGAAATGACTCATGTAAAGGTCTAGAGGGATAAAATAAAATGTATAGAGAAGTAGGTACTTGGGTTGTTGAATGGCTGATGGTTGTATGTCTTTTAAAGTGCTCAAGATCAATATGAAGAGTTAGCTCTTTCCCTTCCCCAGGGAATGTAATGGGGACATTATTTAGGGTGATAGAAGAGTATCCTTTCTCTAGAGGTGACCAAAGTGGATGACATCAAAGCGGCCCAAAGCCTTGCTTATCTGCCTACCTCTAAGGCCAGACCATGGCCTTCCACTGGTTCCCCAAGGAATAAAGTGTGTCCTAAAAGTTGTGACCTTTGAGCTCTGACTACCTGTCCTTGGCTCCTGGCTCCTTCCTCCCCATTCTTTGAATCTCGGCAAGTAATTTAATTTCTCTGCACCTTAGTTTTCTGTAAATGGAGAAAAATAATAGTGCTGTTAAGGTTTTCTGAAGAAAGCTCAGCGGTGAGCAGTGCTGCTACTTTGATTACAGTTATCATTTTTATGACTAGTCCTCGGCTTGTTGTCTCAGGCTCTTTTCAGAGTTGCTCCTTAACACACACACTTGCAGATATGAAACTTGGACGGAATGTGGCGAGAACGTTTTTGGATTATTATCGGCTGAACCCCATGGCAGAGAAAGTGGCGATTCCCATGCCGAAGCTGAGGTAAGTGGCTGAGCAGAGAAGCGGGGCTTCAGTTTTATGAGGAGAGAAGGTCAGGAAATGAGTCTCTTTCTGGTGGGCACTATGCCTCCTGGCGCTGAACCCACTGGGCATTTAGCAATGAATGTGCTGGCCCTAACCTAGCTTCTGGATTCATTTCCTGTTCCCTGAAGAGACCCAGTGCCCTATGCTTGCCCTGCTAGACCAGTCTTCCCTATGACCTTATTGTGACCTTGACCTTTTTTTTTTGCCTCAGGACCTTTGTACTGACACACCTTTCTTTCTATGAATTAGACACCTCATCAATTCAGTTATTTATCCAGCTGAGTAGTTTGTGCACACCATCTAATATATTCTTCATAGAGATAACAGCCCTCACATACAAATGAGGAAAAGGCAGCTCAGGAAAAGGGAAGAGAAGGGCATGACATCAGTGCTTGGGAAGAGGCAAGATTTGATTTGGGGCCTTTGGGATTTCAAAGTTGGACTGTCCAGCTAAGCTTTGTCTCTAGTGAGAAACCATTTTTTACTCTCAGTGGGGGTTCGAGTTCTGCCTCAGGCTCATGCTAGCTGTGGGAGCTTAATTAACTATCTTGACTCTTAAAACCTTTTTCTTAAGGTGAGGATAAGAGAATCACCTCTAAAGGGGCATTAAAGATGAGACATGGCTAGACAGAGTACCTGAAAGCCCATCAGTGCTGAGTGAAATGTTTCCATCTCCTGGTTTCCGGCTTCAGACTTCCCACCAACTTATCTGGAGACTGGGAAAGCCCCTGGGCTCTGTGGGACTAGGTTGTCCCCAAGAGATCATATCGCACCAAACCAAGAGTTGTGTCTTTGAACTCTGTCTGCTTGCACTGTCTGCATGATAATGTCACCTAATTCCTGCCCATCTTTGTCAATATCCCTGCAGAGTCACTGTGCCTCTCATGCTCTTGGGTTAGCTGCTCTTTCAGGAGGCTCAGTCTTTTTCTCTCTGTGCCTGATTGTGTCTGTGCCATTCTGAGCATGCATACACACATCCCTCAGTCACTACAGTCCAACAATACTTTATACCAGGCTTGGGGGCAAGGGGTTGGGGAGCTGAGATGATTAAATGATGAAGCCATGACCCATGCCTTTGAGGAGCTCTCCTCTAGAGAAAAATGCTCAGTTAATTCTTAAAAGTCATTCTTGATTGGTTCAAGTTCTTTAAAAATGTAAAGCTTCATAAGACTCAAAAGACTTCGGAGAATCTCATTTACAAGTTAATTTGGGGATTGTCTCTTTCGGGTCTTCTGTCAACCTGAAGAAAATTATCTTGATCCTTGGCCACTTTTTTTTCTTGCCTTTTTTCACTGTCACAGACCAGTGAAATGGGGATGCCACTCAGGGGGACCTTAGCACTATCTAGACCTCTTCCCCTGACACAGGAATGGAGCTGAAGCCCAGGGAGCAGACAGGTTGGTCAGAGCTGGGACTAGAGCTCAGCTCGACAGCCCAGCAGCAGCTAGTAAAGAATTAGAGGGCAGGTTCAGTGGGGTCTTTGAAAGTTGGGTCTGAAGGAAGTAGGGGCCTTTTCAGGACTCTGATTTCAACTCTTCATGGGACTTCTTTCCCTGAGCCTTGTAATTCTTATTATAACAGAACTGGTGAGCTCATTTCTCATAAATTCACAGCCTGAGAACTTGACTTAACTGAACCTGTTCTTAATGTAAGAAAACCATGATTACTCCCCAGTCCTCCCTGATCCCCGCCTCCTCAAACCAGGCTGCCACTCAGCTCACATTGGTCAGCCACTCTCTTCCAAGAGCCTGCTGGATGGATGCCAGGTTCTGATGGGACACTTTAAGGAATGCATCGTCTTTTTTGGATTGTTTACCACTCAAGCATCAAAGAGCATAAGTGAAGTAACAGGTCTGGTTTTAAAGTAAAAGTATAAATATATTTTGACTCAAATGCTTCCTTGTTTTCTATCATCTCTCTGGATAATTATAACATGTCAGTTTCCACCCACATGCTGGAAAAAGCCTGTTGGCACCTTGGGCACTCAACCACCCTTCAGAACAGGTCCCAGAGAAGAGCAGCAATGTGGGCTTGAGACTGCAGGTTCGGGAGGCAAGGTATTGATGGCCACAGCTGAGAGAGTGACACAGTCATAGGACTAAAATCTCATAAAACTCACCCTAATGGTAGAAATCAGGCAGGAATAGGGAAGGTCAGGGGAGCCTCAGGGGAGAGACAGAGCAGAGGATGATTGGGGGCTGGCACCATGTCGGCAGTTTCATGTTCATGTGGCATAGAGAATCATCTGCTATTCCACACTCTGGGGCCCACCATGTGTCAGGCTTTTGCCCCTCAGGAGCCCAGAGATATGGAAAAGAAAGGCAGAGACACACGATGCGATCATCACACTAGCTGTAGAAGTGCTCAGATGGAATTCTATTGTATGACTCTCTACGAAAACTTCCATGGCTCCTCTACCTTCCTGCAGTGTCCGGTCCTTCCTTCTCCACCCTCCCTGCTGCTATCCAAGGTCCTGGACTGCACTTAGGCTTCATGCTCAGCCTCCCTGAACAGCCCTCTCTGTTCTGCGGATCTCCATAACCTCCTGCTCTGAACCACCTCACGCCTGAGCTTCAACCTGAGCTCCAACTCCTCTCATGCCTCCATGTCTTTGTTCCCATTTCTTCTCTTCTTGGAATAGTTGGGATGGTGAACTCCTCTTTCTCTTTCACTGCCCAGTCTATATCCCAGGCCTTTGTGCATTGTCACTGACCACCCATAGAACAACTTGTCCTCTGCTGGCTTCTCGACTGCATTGGTTGGTCTTCTGTCCTGGTACATCCCAGGGCACATTATCATGGTGTCATCTCACGCTGGTCTTCTCCACCTGGTAGAGAGCTCCTTAGGGAGTTCTCCTGGTCACTCCTGTATCTCAAATGCCATGCGCAGTGCTTAGCACAGAGAAAGTCCCAAAAGAGTCCTGAACATAACTGAAATTAAAACAGTAGGATTGACAAAGCCACTTAGAACCTTCTACTTCAATCCCTTTATGTGAAAGAAGGTGAGAGCTCATCAGACACAGTCTTTCTACACCATCTGGCAAGCACTTGGAGCCAACAAGAGGCCCAGAGAAGGCTTCAGGGAAGAAGTGGGGTTAACACTTGGTTTTAAAGGATGTGTAAGCCAGAGAGGTAGCTCACGTGGTACAATGCATGGTTGGCATGTGCAAGGCTCAAGTTCAATCTGTGTATTGCATAGACACCTGAGCACTACCAGCCACAGCCATTGAGGCTCTGACAGCCTCTAGTACTGCTGACTCTGGCCTCTATGAAAAAAAAATTAAAGAAATAAATAAAGGATATGTAGAATTAGCTGCATGAAATAGAATAGTAGAGTGTGAGAAGACCCAGAAACATATATTCAAAGGGAACACTCACATCTGGAAGCTGAGAACCAGGGAGATTAAGATAAGATTAAAAGTTGATTTCTGTTCATCAAACACTTCACAAGCACCCCTTCCAATACATATCTGTTTTTATCTCAGAAATTCCAGGGAAAAATAAAATCTTAAACTTGTAGCCCTCCTGAAGGAAGCAAATGAGGGCAAAGAACTCCTAGAAAGTGGTGTGCTGGGGAGGAAGGCATAAAGCGTTGGGGCAATAGTATGGTGGGTAGGGCATTTGCTTTGCACAAGGCCAACCCAGGTTCTATCTCTGACACCCTATATGGTCCCCTGAGCACAGATAATAGTAATTCCTGAGTGCAGAGTCATGAGTAATCCCTGAGCATCACCAGGTGTGACCCCCAAAGCCCAAAACAAAAAAAAAACACAAACCAAAAAGTTGCAGAAAAATGGGACTGGGTTTCTCGGCCTGGGCTTCCCCAAGGAGGTGAATGGGAGAGGAATATGTGGCATGATGGGAACTAGAATAGCCTCAAATCACCTTTGGAATACTAAGAATCCCCTACCCATAGCCCAAATACCACCGTGTCTCTGCCTTTGGTTTCACAAGCTCTTAGGCTCAGTGACAACCCTCATCACTACATGCTTTCTATTGGGTCACCATTACTTCAATTGCCCTGCTGGTGACAAAACCCAGCCTTTCTTTCCAAGTAAACAACCTCCTGTATCCCCCGGCTACCCCACAAAATACCTATGAGCACCTTACTTCCTTTGTGCCTTATTTGTATTGAGAACTGTACTCCAATGACATAGGAATTCATAAAATGCTTCCCCAACCCTTTGTTCTCAAAACCTGTGTTACGGGAAGGACAAGGGCTCTTTGCTCCTATTTTTGGAAATGAAGAAATGGGGCCTCTGGGAAGGGAGGACTTAAGGTCACATCATGTCTAAGCTACATTTCAGCACAAGTTTCAGGCTGTTCAGGCTGGGTTGTGAGGTAAAGATGTATTTCCCCTGTGCTAGACAGATATATTGTGTTAGCAGGGCCCTAAGAGGGCATGGAAGTTCAGGTAGCAAGGCTTCACAATGACCAACATATGTCAGGGAGAGGTAATTCTTGTGTGTTCTCCCTCCTATTTCATCTTTACCTGACCTTCTTCATCAAAAATGAAGGAAAATGGATACTCCAAGGTCAGAGTATGATGGGTGACCAGAAATCACATTAATCTTAATTTAAACACACCTGAGATCCCCATAGTGATGACACTTACCACTGTATCATATTTTCCTCTGTATATTGTACTTTGCTCTATATTTTGGTTCTTGATTGTTTATTTTTGTAGCTTTTATTTAATGCAACTGTCTCTACTAAGGTGTAGGCTCATGCCTTAGCATTTACCACCATGTCTCTGAAAGTGATAGGACATTAGGTGCATTTACTCCCATTATCTCACCTAAACTCACAAAATTGGGATATTTTATCCCTAGTTTGCAAACAAAACTCAGAGAAGTTAAATGACTTGCCTGAGGTCACACCTTTCATACATTGCTGGACTGGGTCTTCAGTTCTTTCAGGTTCTAAAACTCTCTCTTCCTAACGCAAATAAACCTTAGTCTAATGCAAAAATTAATTGATGAGTTAACTATACAAATTACCATATGAGAGTAAATGCAAAAATGGATAAAATTGGTCACAAGTCTAGTGCATGAACAAAACAAACAGTGACCAACTATAGGAAATCAGTATTAAGGATATTGTTTGGTGTGCTGAGTGCTGGAACAGTGAAACAAACCAGACCCAGATATGATTTTCAAGATCCCCCAAACTTGTGTGTGTGGAGGGACAGATGCGTTAATGAATTCCATAATGAGACTATGCTGAAGGATATAGAAGAAACCCAGAGTCCTGCTGATTAGGCATAAGTCCCTCCCAAGCCATAGTTCTATGTGTACATCCTCCTCCCATCTTGAAATGGATTGAAGGGGTGAGGAGCGATGGAAAGGCACAGGCATTGAAACTGCACAAATGTTAGGTTATCTCCAGAACCAGAAAGACACAGTATATCCATCAAGTAATCTAATGTTCATGAATCTGGCAGGATATGGCTCCTGGGTTAAGAAGCTGACAATCAGGCCTATGCTCTTAAGAGGTCACAGGCCTGCAGGGAAGATAAACACACACAAGATGCTTTTGGTACAGTATGTATATATGCTGTCTTTCTTCTCTCTTTCTGTTATCTCCACCTTTACAGGAAAGAAAAACCCCCTACCTACAAGCACGCACCTCTACGGGACTCGGCCAGCAGCTGTCCCAATGGCAAAGAGGACAAGAAGAATTCAGTGAACCACAAAGACCCTTCAAATTCTTTTTAAAGACATGAGATTGAGCCAAAGAAGTCTTGTGGAGGCAGATGTGCATTTCCTGATGGGGGTGGGAATGTGTGTAAAATTAATCACCCATCTCTAGTTTTCAAGATAAGAATTGTTGGGATAATGAATAAGATAGTAAAAGAGAAAGGGGAAATGAGAAATTTCGTCATCGGTTGTTTTCCTTTTACCAAGGGAAAAATCAATGGTGAAACTTCAGCTTACAGCTCAGGAACAAAATAGGGTACTACAGGCAAGTGCAGAAACTTTGTTCTGTGGCCTGGAGATTCTTCCAGGAAATAGGAGAACCTACACACCCCCTCTAAAAGGTTTATCACATCTCAGGTCAGTGCTTTTAAAGCTCCCTAATTTTTTAAGTTATATAGTGATTCCAGTAGGTTACCTTTTAAATAACCTCTGGCTGTTAATAGTCTAGAAATGCACCATCCACCTTGTTGATCCCAAGCAACTGCAACCACATGTACAGCTGAAAAACTGTTTTGAACAATGGGACAGAGTTTTTGAAATTACTGTGGTCTTAGCCACATAGTCAGTGCATTTGTGAGATGCATGCTTCCTATTCCTCAAGTCTCAGGATGTACCTTTACAACTTGATCTTGAAAGCTATTTCCATTAACCTGGGTAGTTTAAAACCTTCGTTCCACCTCAAAACAGTCGCTCATTCTGGAGAACGAGAATATGATGCATTTTTGTGTCAGGGGTCAAACCTGGCTACCAAAGAGGTGGGTATTGCTAACTTGTCAACTGGGGCTGACTGATTGCCACCTAAGGCATATGCAAAAGACAAAAGAACGCAGCCTGGGACAGGTCAAAATGATAAAATGAAACAACAGCAGTAGCAATTCCCAGGGTGGGGCAAACAAAATATTGTGCATTTTTCTGAAGAGTAAAGTGCCTTTGTATGATGAATGGGTCCAGGGAGGCAGCTCCCTTCCTGTCTGTATAGCAGCAGGCTGAGTCACCATGACAGCCTGCTAATTAAAATGACCTCCCTGAAATGAGGATTAGGAGATAGGAAGAGGAAGGCAAGCTCAGGGGAGATAGGGCCTTTAGCAAAAGTTCCTGTTATACGTTCTTTTCTTTGGGTTTGAGATTTTTCTAAATTTGTCCAAAAATATTGAGAGCAAATCTTAGTTTGCTTTGCTTATTGGTTTTTGGAAAAGATAACAAAGAACCATTTGTTAGTTGGCAACAAATGTTGTGTTGTATATACTCCCCTGGGTTCTTGTTGCCCAGAGGAACATAAATAAAGTGTTTATACAGCTTGTTCCTTGGAGTATTCTTGGCACTGTTTCCTGTATGTCTCCCACTCCCTCAAGATCCATCAGCCCGATTTGGAATCTCCCTTACTCCGAGGTCATGCTCTCTGTCACCAAGATAAGAAGAGTGGAGACCTGACTTTTCAACAGATGCTGTCAGATTCCTGAGGAATTTACTTGACTGCAATAGTTCAATGTGAACACATGTTGGCAAGTGTGTCAAGTCTCTTGGAAATGCTAGCATCGCTTGGGATAGCATGAATAGAGGCAGACTGCACAAAATCATGGAGATCATGGCCCAGATTACTCTTCTCTGGTCACACCACTAACATTTCTATAATGTTGTGACCATATTTAGGCCCTATTGTTAAAAATTGCATGGATGAGCTGGATCACAGGTGGTGTGATGGTGGTTTAAGTGGTTTGCAGCCAAGCAAAGCTGTTTCTAATGCTGCATTCAAAACCCGATTCTATTTCTTCATGTTGGTGTGACCTTGGGCAAGTTTTTTAACCTCTCTTAATCTTGGCTTCCTTATCTGTAAAATGGAAATGGTAATACCTAATTCAGTATAGTAATTCTCTAGGTTTGTGAATTTAGATATTGTAAAATGTCAGCCAAAGTACTTACTAAGTTGTAGCTATAATCTTTCAGAAATTTCCCGTAAAAAAAGGATGAGGAGCTATTGGTCCTTGAGATGAAAGATAAAAGAGTGTAAGAGTAAAAAAGCAAGATTACAATGTTAAAGAGAAGGGGTACCTTAGGCAGCCTTTTGTCCAGAAGAAGCAAACTAGTCATTTGATTTTTATTTGTCTGGGGGTAACACCCAGAAGTACTCGGGGATTACTGCTGACTTTTCTCTCAGGAATCATTCCTGGTAGTGCCAGGATTTAACCTTAGTTGGCTACCTGCAGTGCAGGTGCCTTAGCCAATATACTATCACTTTGACCCCAAGAAGTAAATTTATTCTATGTTGCCAAAGGTATAGATCAAATCCTGATAGGGTGTCTCAGTAGGACTTTAAACTCAAATTCAAAGAAAATCTCTGAGTTAATGGAGTGGCGAACCTTATGATGGGCTCCACTGGGAGACAGTGAACTCCCCTTTATCAGATGGATGCGAGCAAAGTCTTATTAAACATTTTTCAGAGAGGAGGAAGTACAGGGGCTCCATCTCTTAGGGGATGCTTTGGTAGATAAGTGGAGATAAATTACGTGAGGAAGGAAGTTACCTTTCTGAATATTTTCAAATGGTATTTAGACTATAAAAGTGTTATTGCATGCTAGACAAGCAACATTAGGTATCCCCAAACAGCATATGTGCTCAGCTAATAGCATTTCTTCAGAGAGGAAAATTTCATGTATGTAAGGGAGATGATATGACCATTATTTTCTCCACATTGGCATTGCAGAGAGGAAAGGACTGGAAAACAGACTGGGAGTCACCACTGGGCTTTGACCCACTCAGCCATTCCCTAGTTGTCTTGAACCAGGTTGTTGTTATGTTCTCAAGTTAGAGAGGAAGGGTATCAGCACAGGGAGAAGGACAGCACCAGACTCCAACCAGCACCATAGAGGGGCTCTCTAGGCTCTCTCCTTGCCTGCTCACTTCCTTTCAGAATGGAGTCACACATCAGGAAAACCAAGTAACAAATTAATGTTCTATGCAATTCGGAGGAGAGTGGAATGACTCTATAAAAAGTAAAGGTGGACTTGTAGGACATTCTCAGACTCTGCCTGGCTCTCCACCATTCTCAACATCAACTTTGCTTAGTACAAGTCCAGACACTCAGGATAGACACAAAGGTCTAGTAATCCTCCACCAGTGGTAAATAAGTTAGAGGCACCATAGTGCCTACCACTGATGATGTAGTCAACACCTACTGTAGCAGGTGTAGACTTTTCTAAAATTCCCTATTTTAGATAGGGGATTTCTCTATGTGAGTGAGGAAGAGCCATGTGAAGTAATGTTCTTTCACTGTGGTTCGGTTTAACTCCACACATGAGGCCTAACTCTGAGGACCTAAACAGTGAGTGCCATGCCAAACATGGAAAATTGAGGTGACTAACATTTATTGAGCATGAATCCATACATTTGGCTAATACTTATTCAATGTTTATTGCATGCTATTCATTCTGTTAAATGCCTCTGTATCTATTGCCTCATTTAATAGACCTAACAGTTTCTTGAGGTAAGTACCATTTTCTTCATTTTTCAGGTGAGAAAACTAGAAATCCTTAAAGTGAAATACCTTGTTTGTATACATACGTGTATATATACATATATATATATATATATGGCTAATATATATGGCTAGTGAAAACCTGGATTCAAACCCAGCTACCTTTTTATTAGATTTTCTCCATTTGTCTCCAGGTAAAACCATGTCAAAATAGGAAAACAGATGAGAACAAAAATAACAAGTAAATAATGACCTGATTCAGAAGTAGAGAATAAAGTAGCCTGGAAATTTCAGACTGGGTATTTGTGTGCAAATATTTCAGGATATGTTAGTGCCTGCTGCTGAAATCTCCACACCTCTCCTTCCCACACTCCTATCTTGAAGCAAGGTGCTCCAACAGGGTTTGGGTATCTGTCCCTTGACATGTAGAGGTTTATGATTTTCCAGACACTCTGTTGTCACCCTCTGGGTCATTGATCCCTGGCATATAAATCTATCACTCTCCCCTTGTTGTCCACGTGAACTGAACCCAGTCTGTCCCTTAGCTGTTGTTCAGAATTCTTCCTTGGATGGCTGCCTCCCAAGCACAGTAAATGCACTAAGATTAGAAGGCATTTTCCTTCTGGCTCAGATCAGATCATGCATACCAGGACATGCAGACTAAGGGAGATATTATACTGGAAATAGGAGGATTCTAAGCATAGTCTGGGTTTAAGAGTCATACTAACCAAAATGGAAGTCTTTGTTCTGGTAATTGGCTGTATGGTTTTGAGCAAGAAATTTAACCCTTTGCAATCTCAGGACTCTTAACTGGAAAATGGGAATGGAAAGATTTACTTCCCACCATTATTGTAAGAAAAAAATATAATGACGTCGATGTAAAACATACTGCATATAGTTAAGAATACAATATAGTATCCTTAAACATTTGTTAGATCTCATGTTAAGAGTTCTTAAAAATCAACATCTATATAGTACCTGACATAGAATAGATTCCTTTCTCCAACCACTCCCATCCTGTTCCACCTCTCACTTCTTTGCTAGGTCCGAAAATCCCTTTCCTTGAAACTGAAGCTTTTCTTACTTGCTGATGAAGACAGAAATATAAATTCTTCCCAAGGACAAGAATTAGAGAAGGGTCTAAAAAAACAGTGGTCACTGATACAGAAATCAGTATCATGCAGGCTAGCTACTTAGATCTTATTCAATACTTTGGCCTCAACATTATCAGAACACAGCGGATTTTTTGCAGACTGAGTGTGCAATGAACAAGTGATGGGGGTGAAATTCAAAGACCCCTGTGCTTGAGGAAGGAGGAAGAGGACAAGTGTTGAATACAATATTAATCCAATCTGAATGGAGGCAAAACTGACAAGACTAAAAACAATAGGGTATAGGTCTGCAAGATAGATGATTTTATTAAAATAACAACAGAGCTGAAGAGATAGTATAGGGATTAAGACACCTTCCTTGCACACAGTCAACTCCAGTTCAAAACCAACCCTGGGTTGGTTTTTCAAGCACCACCAGGAGTGATTCCTCAGCACATTGAATCTGATTGTGTGGCCCCAAAAGTTAAAACAAAAAATGAAATTAACAAATCTTAGCAAGATTTAAATGAGGCGCTTGTTAGTTTGGGTTTGCATACAATTTCTCAGGGATTGTCTAGAGAAATATTGATTTTATATGTTCTGCCAGCTGAAACACAGAACTTCCCTGAAGTACTCTCAGCTGTTTAGAACTTCC